AGCCACACTGCAGCTGTGGGACCAGTGTCCTGCTGTTCTCCCACCACCACCCACTGCTTCCGAGGACTCCCCACAGGGCCGTGGCCCCTTTTGAAAATGTCAGTGAACATCCAGGTTCACATGTTGCCCCTTCTCTTGGGTCAATGTGCAGGAGTGGGATGGCTGGGCTGTGTGGTGATGTTTTATGTTACACACTTACTGATTACCAGTAAGAATGTCCGCTGGATGCGGGTGCGCCACGTCTTCACCAAGACTCGGTGTTGGTCTTTCTGACATTAGCCGTGCTGGGGGCCTCCAAGTGGTTAGTTTGCGTGTCCCTAATTACTAGTAACACGTCTTCCGCTGTCCATGTCTCATCTTTGATTAAGCATCTTAATGTCATTGCTGTTACTTAAAAGTGGGTTGTTTATCTTATTACTGAGGTGTGATTTATCTTATTACCGAGGTGTGGTTTTTACATATTCTGTTTTTGCCAATATTTTCAGTTAGTTTGAGGCCAGCCTTTTTCTTTTCTTCTAGGAGTGTCTAATTACGAGCCAGGTTAGGAGGCATATGCTTGCAGTCCCATCTACTTGAGAGGCTGATGTGAGGCAATCACGTGAGCCCAGGAGTTTAAGGCCAGCCTGGGCAACATAGTGAGATCCTTTTTTTTTTTTTTTTTTTGGGGGGGGGGTTCTAATTATGATGAAGTCAATTTGTCATTTAGCCAATTTATGCTTCTTTTTATGATCACTGCTTTTCATTTTGTATCTGACAAATCTTTGGGTAACCCAAGATTACCAAGATTTCCTACTGTGGTTTCTTTCAGAAGTCTTTGTTTAGCTCTAACATTTATATCCATTGGTAAACTTTTATACACGGTGTGAGGTAGGCAGTGGGGTTCATTCTTCCATGAGGGTGTCCACTTGTCCCCGCATCAGTCCCTGAGAAGTCCAGGCAACTTTTTCACCCACAGGGTAACCTCACTGAACTCGCTTCTGTGGATCCCACAAGCTTCCAAAATAGAAAGTTTTGAAAAACGTGGGTGCAGCCAAGACAGTTAAATGGGGAAGGACAGTCTCAGCAATCTGTGCTGATCAAGAACAATGTGATCACAGGCAGAAGAACACAGCTGGGCTCCCACTTCACACAGAAATCAAAAGTCAACTCAAAATTGGGTCAAAGACTTAATAAGAGCCAAAAATAAAATTCTTAACCGGATATAAGTCTTCATGACCGTGGATTAGGCAATAGTGTCTTAGCTGTGACACCAAAAGCACACACAAAAATATTAAATGAAATAAAACAAATTGGACTCCTTCAAAATTAAAAACTTTGTGCTTCAAATGATACCATTAAGATCATAAAAAATACACAGAAAGGAGAACACTCTTCAATACCATACATCTGACAGGTGACTTACGCTGCTAATGGAATTATAAAAATAGCACAGCCACAGTGGGAAACAGCTTGGGATTCCACCCCTAGATGTGTAACCAAGAGAAAAGAAACCTTATGTTCCCATAATGATTGTAGCATTATTATTCCCAGTGGCCAAAAACTAAAAACAACCCATGTCTGTTAGTTGATAAGCCGATAAACAAAATGTGGCCAGTACCTGTCCAGTGCAGTGCTATTTGGCAATATGAAGGAATGATGTAATCCCTGCTAGTGCGTGGAGGGGCCCTGAAAAGACACTAAGCCCTGGTCACAAAACCCGCACACTGTGCAACTGCACTTGTTCGAAATATCTAGGATAGGGAAACCAAGAGAAGGGAAGGACGCTGGTGCTGCTGATATATCACTAAAACCCGCTGAGGTGTGAACTTTAAATGAGTGCACTGTAGGGCGACCATGTGCACGGTACTGGGACCTAAACCCAGGGGTCCTCTGCTATTGAGCTCCACCCCCAGCCCTTTTTAAAATTTCATTTTGAGACAGAGTCTCACTAAATTGCTGAGGCTGTCCTCAAACCTGCAATAGTGCTTCCTTAGCCTCGTGTGCCAACACACACAGCCTTGACACGCATTATATCTCAATTTTTAAAAATTCTATTCTTTCAATCAGTCAGACATAATCTTTGGGAAAACAGTAAAGTCTAGGTGAGTGGACACCCGTGGACACAAGAAGTGTGCGCACGTTTCAAGAGTTCCATTTGGGTGGAAGGCGGTGTGCTCGTTCCTCTTGGCCCTGCACTAGTAGGGGTGAGACGCCTGCAGCCCAGCAGCGGCTGCAGCAGCACAGTGGGCGGCAGGTGTGGAATGGGCAGATATCCAGTTGCCACATTCCCACTGCCACAAGTTTTCTATCATGAATACCAGGAGAGGCCTCCAATGCAAACTGCCCCATATGGCGAGCAGCTGGATAAACAACCATCTGGATTGCGGCCTGAGCACATTCCTCAGGTGGAGTTTTCCTGAGGGAGGCTGGGGCCCCAGAAGGAAACGCCAGCACCCGCCAGCCAGCAAGGCCCCCTCCCGACAGCCCCCTCCACAGCACAGCCTTCCCCAGGCACCTGTGGATGCACACAGCCTCCTGCGGGGCTCCTCCAGGCACCACAGCCTTGAGGTGCGCAGATCACTCCAGCTCTCTGCAAAGAGCCCTGGGTCCAAGGCTGAGTCCTTGGAGAGCTGGCCAGGTGCTTCCCTTCCCTGGCTTCACTGGTGGCTATCTGACGTCTCAGAGGTGCTTTCCAGATCAATTATAGGCTTCCAATTAACCTTGTGTGTACTTTTCTTTGGTGCTAGGGATTTAACCTAGGGGAGCTTAACCACTGAGCCACATCCCCCGCTCCTTTTTTTTTTATTTTGAGACAGAGTCTTGCTAAGTTGCTGAGGCTGGCTTTGAACTTGCGATCCCCCTGCCTCAGCTTCTCAAGCCACTGGTCACAGGCGTGCACCACGTGCCTGGCTTGTGTGTATCTTCATATAAAGTATTCTATATATATTGAACATATCTCCACCTTATCAATAGCTGTCCATCTTACCTCCTTCTTGCCCATTTGATCATCTTTGATCAATGTCAGATATAGTAGTATCTGAAACTCTCCATCACTGTTAATCTTGGCCAGTGACCTCAAGCCCATCTTGGTTTAGTGAGATCATTTCTCCCTCAAAGCCACCTGTGCATCTGCTCAGGTGAGCTGGCCTTCACAGCACTGCAGTGACTGTCATGAGGCTGCCATTCTTGGGCTTGGCTCTCTGGCCCTTCTGTCAGCCTTTAATTCCTTCCTTCTGATTCCAGCTGTGCTCTGCAGTTGAGGTGACCAGACAAGGGAGTGAAGCAGGACAGGAGCAGATGATTAAGTTACACAGAAGGACGCTTTCCACACAATCCTGAGTTCCCCAGGACATGCTGACACCGGGCCTTGGCCCGATTCAGCAGTTCTACTTTTGTCTTTATTGTAAAAACTAAAAGGAGTATATTTAGTGAAAACACCTAAACTCTTTTTGCTCCCAAAGAAGAAAAGCCTGGGGAGGCAAAGATTTGCTCCCTCTGGCTTGGAGGCTGCGCCGTGGCCCCATGCTGGAGCCAGCCCAAGCCCCTGTCGTCCCCGGAGCCCCATGTGCTGCTGCCAAGCACAGCCTGGAAGCTGAACTGCCACGTCCACACACTCTCCTTTATGTTCCTCAAACAGTTGTTATTAATTTAGAAGAGCTTGAGGTTTAAAAATCAACCAGCACTTTCCGCTTAAGTCACTTAGGTATACATTTTCTCCTAACAACTGTTCTGCTGAAATCAGTCATTATCTGTAAGCAGACCCCATGCCCACCCACTTTAGGGTCTGGATGCGTTCTTGCTTTCTGGCGGCTTAATGCACAGGGTGCTGGCAGCAGTTCTTACAGGGAGCTGGCTCCTTTAAAAGTTGTGACGCATCTTTGTCCCCACACAACCTCACTTGAGGGAGCTAAGCTGTTCAATCCAGCAAGTATCTGCCTCCCAGGAAGCTGTGCCAGCTGGGTCCCAGCCTGCCCCCTTTTCTCCTGGGACTGACTGGCAGACCACGCTTCTCAGGTCACCTCACTGTCCTTCACAAGGCTTGTGGAGGCCACTGTGGCTTTGGTGTTGGCCAGGGTGGGGCCTGCATCAGACTTGAGCCATCCCCAGGTGGCCGTTTCCGTATCAGGCACGGTGGCAGGTCACACAGACAAGAGAACCTTGAAATCTCATGATGAACCAACCTAGAGTTGTTGGCATATGACCCCGAACCCTACAACATGACTCCTAAGAGCAGATGGAAGTCTGTGGGAACTGAGCAGATGGGTTCTTGCTTCCCGGCTGTGAAGATGCCTGTAAAGCAAGCTCAACTGTCATGACACAGACGTGGCAGTTCTGGTAGGCAGGAGGCTCCCAGGTCCTGCTATGAATAACGTGTCCAGAGGCGTTGCAGCGTGTGGGGGGAGCCCTACCTGCCCTGGAGTGGCGAGCCTAGACACAGGGAAAGTGCACCCTGTCTCCTGCAGTGGCTACAGAGTGGGGTGCAGCTCATCATGGAGCCTTCCCCTTGGTGCAGTGGGCGTCAGGGGGGATCCCAGGGGCTGTTGGGGGGAGCTGGGAGGATGCACAGTCCAGGAGCATCTGCTGTGGCAGTGTGGCAGTCACCACCCTCAGAGGCTCAGGGTGAAAGGCTTGGTGGCAGATGCCAGACCTCTGAGAACAGTCTTCACAGCTCAGGGCCAGGTTAGCAGACCTGAGCAAGGGGGCCCCGCGACCAGGCTTGAGTGGGCGGCAGGCGGTAAAATCAGAGTTGTACAGTGGTTGGTCATGTGAGATGAGGAAACAGGGGAGGTGACAGGTCACGGGAATGTGGAGGCTGCCTGGCATTGGAGAGATCTCGAAAAGGGTGGGCCTGTGTGACAACAGGTGAGGCAGGATGAAGGAGTGGGGCCGTGCACTCGGCCCTGGCACAGGGCTCTCAACTCCAAGTGGGGTTCTCCCTGACTCCCAACCAGTCCCCAGAACCCCAGCTCAGGGCCTCTTCCTCCTCCCTCACGGATCTGTGTAACCACTTCTCCCACCAGGAGAAGTACCCCGACACTGTGCACCTCTCGGAGGGGTCCTGCTCCAGCTGCATGGAGATCCGCAGCGCCAGGAGGCCAGGGTGAGTGCGGGCCGCTGCGGCCTCGAGTCCCTGTGAAACAGGGATTCTCAATAGAAGGGAAACTATCCCCTGAGGACCAGAGACCGTCGGGTGGAGGAGAAGTGGGCAGGCCGTTCTGCACCCTGTGAACATTACCACCACAGGAAACGCAGACAAGTGCCTACTGGCCTGGGCCTCAGTTCCACTGAGGGGTTTTAAGGAGCAAATGTAGGGGGCGCTGGGAGGAGGAGGAGGTGTGTGTGGAACCACTGCACAAATGGAAGGACGGAGGCTGGGGTGAGGAAGCCCCTGAGGCCAAGTCAGAGAAACCGCTTCAGGGCTCCTCACACGGCCACCTCCCTTCACTGGCCACACTCTGCCCAGAGCCATTGCCCTGCCCGTGTTCCTCAGCCCCCTGCCTCAGCCCCTGTGCATCTCCCTGTGCGCGCCTCTTCAAGCCTTCAAACAGGTAGTCTTCTGCAGGCGTCCTTCTGCCCCTGACCCATGACCACAGTGCGTTCATTTTTACTCCTCACCCTCTGGTAGGTCAGTCCACCAAAATGCCTGGCTGCCTCAGCTCTCGAGCGTTTAGGATCTTCGTCCCTGTTTCTCCCAGCCCACGCTACATAGGCTTCTCTTGGGCTCAGATATTGAGGCACGAAATTCTCCAGCCGTGGAGTAGAGGCACACACGGCTTTGTCAGTGCCAGAGTATTTCCAAGGAAGATGACCCTCTGCACCGGCACCAGCCATGTGCAAGTTCCTGTCGCTCTGCGTCCTATCCACATCCGATTCTTGCCAGTGTGGTCCTGGTTCCCCTTGACCACCTTTTCCCTCCTCTGGGGTGGATGTCTTTAGGAGCAAGGAAGCCAGAATAGAGAAAAGGAGCTAAAAACCAGATTTCAAAAGCACTGGCCAATGTGTTTTTCCTCTTTCAGGTTTGAATTGGTGATTGTTTGGAGAATACAGATAGATGAAGAAGGGAAGGTTTCACCAAAGCTGGACCTGCTCACCAAAGTCCCTCAACGAGGTAGGGCTCTGGGTATGGATGTCCTTTCTAGGGGACTTCTCAGTCAAAGCTAGGTGTTGTTCATCTGGCTTAGTGTACTTTGTACACTGAGTAATTACTAATAAGAACATTTAAAAACCAAAAAGCACAAGAGTGATCGTTCCCCCATAGCCCTGCTGGCCGAAGGCAGGAGAGAATGTTCTCTGCCTCAAGACATGGGTGAGATCACATCTCTCTGCTCCGGGTCTAGTGCCTCCAGGTCCATGTGATCCTTCAGGAGGAGGAGGGGTCTTGGGGACGCCAACAGCTCAAGGTTTCTTACCTGGTTTATTTTTTTCTTTATAGCTCTGGAGCTGGACAAGAACAGAGTCCTAGAAACCGCCCCTCAGAGCTTCCGAACCCTGCTAGAAGTGCTTGGAATTGAAGCCGCTCTAGAAAGCCTGATAAAATTACTTTGTGCAGAGAATGACTAGTTCCCACACAGGGAAGGAACAAGATGGTGCACCGAAAAGCGTGCGACCTATATTGACTCTAAGTGTACTATCTACCTTCCCCTCAGAAACCACACCCTTAGCTGGATGCATTTGACACCTGCCTACCATCCCAGCTACTTGGGAGGCAGAAGGATCAAGTTTGAGTCCAGCCTCAGCAATGTAGACCCTGTCTCCAAAGAATAAACCAATGCTGGGCACGTCGCTCAGTGGTAAAACGATTGCCTGGCATGCATGAAGCCCTGGGTTAAGGCCCCATCACTGCCCAAAACAAGCTGTGTGCAGTTATGCTACATCAGACTCTCATGGCGTGAAAAATACAGCTGTTCATGTACAAAATGTCAAACAGAATTGAACATTTGAGAAGACGTACCAAGAGTGGTTCTCCCTCCCTTGATGTGTGTGGACCAGCTTGGGCCCCCACCTCACCTCACAGTCTGCCCAGAGACGGAGCCACGCGTGGTCCAGCCCTGAGAAGCCATCCACCTCCTGCCACCTGGGGGGTCTTGGAGGCAGTTGTTGATGGAGCTTCATTTCTTAACATTCCTCAGAAGCCACAGCAGCCACGCCTGCCCCGCTGGCTGCACAGCAGCACCTCTAAGTCCTGAACCTCTTGGTCTCCCCAGAATCTGCACGGCTGTTAACGTCAAAACAGTGCCAGATGACAGCCACCCAGCACTGCTCCCTTCTCACAGGACCTTCACTAGAGAACCCCAGAGGGTCTGAGTGCTACACCATAATTTCAGATGAGAACTAGAGCTGGGAGCCCCTCCATCACCCGTAAGTCAGGGTCAGTGAGGGTTTTCAGGCCATTGGGGCATCCTGGAGTCTGAGCACAGCAGCGGGGACGTGGCAGGGCTGGAGACCAGCCTCAGCACCACCTGCCAGACGGAGGGCCGAGACCTAGGCTGGGGCGCTCCCTCCTCCCTCCTATGAGAATACAGCCTGCTTGTTTTCATTCCGCCCATCCAGCTGGATGAGGCCCCTTGCCAGGCTGTAACACTACTCCCCAGCCCACCTCCCCGAGAGCCTGGGGTTCTGGCAGAGGGATGCTACCTCAAGAGCATGGTGTAGCCCAGGACACAGTGCACCACCTTGTGCAGAAACCTGTCCCAAGTGACGCCGCCCAGGCCCGCAGCAACAAACCATCCTGAATCCAAACAGTGCTAATGGCCACTTCCTACCCTCCACAGCCTCGAGCTGAGCTTTGTGGACGTGACTGGGGTGGACCTCCAAAGCCCCACCCTAGCACACATACCACGCAAGCTGAAGGAAAAGGGGCCAGTGTGTCCAGACACATGATTATCTTTTTGTGCCCGAGTATAGAATAAAGCAAATGTAAGGACAGAATTCAAGAATCAATTCTAGAAGAGTTGGCTTGATTCAAACAAGTGTAATTCTCAAGTTATCACAAAATTTCCCACAAAAATTTTACAATCAGCAAAATATTTTCATTTTTCATGTAGCATTTTCATACAATTCCATGGTTTCACTAATATTATGTTACAATAAGCCTTCATTAGTCCCTCAAAATTATATAAATAATCAGTCTGTACAACCTGCCATGGGGAAGGGGAGGCCAAGAGTCCCAACAATTTTATAGCAGCCGGGCACACTTCTGGTGATCCCAACAAGAACCCTCGGCACCAGCTAGGAGCCACGCATCTTCCAGAAGCAGGGCCCGTGGCAGCCCAATGGGAATGGCAAGGCTCTGGGGCCCACACCCAAAAAAGCCCCCAGGCAAACCGAGGGGAGGAGTGCAGCTTGGGAAGTCCCTCGACCACCCGACACGACGGAGTGCTACCAGAACGCTGGGACACCGGGCGTGCCCACCCCAGCCAGCCGCGGCAGCCTAGTGAGTTACAGCTGTGCTCCCAGCTTCCACAGTAGCGATTTCAGGTAGGAAAGAACACTTTATCTCCCCCTAGAGTTAAAATCATAAAGCAAAAACAAAAAGTCAATGCTCTTGTGAGTGGTGTCCATCCTGACCTGAGTCTCACACTCCCTGCTGACCCTTAAGAGCCGTGAGCTTCGGCACCTCCACAGGGACCCTGAGTCTAGACCACTCAGAACCGACGTCCACACTAACTTCTGATCACTCTCTGCAGCAGGGAACCACCCAAAGCCTGTGTTGATATGTGGCTCAAATTGAAAAAGTGACCAGTAACAACCGGGAAAGTTCCAGTGGTATCTGTTTTCCAAAAGTTCAAACCATAAAATGCTTGTGACAATTCAAGCTTTCTACGTCAGGAATCTGGTGGTAAGAGATCCAAACCTTGGTCTTATAAGGCTTTTCGCATAGAGAATTAGACATGAGCCCTGGTTGAAGGAAGAACTACCCAGGACGTCTTCCCAGGGCTTAACGGACACTTCCGATTTAAGAATATGAGCAGCCTCCTGGGACACCCCGCTCACATCCTACATTCCTTGTCCTGGAAGATGTTTCTAGTGCTCTTTAATTTTATGTCTTCAAGAGGCAATCACCTCAACAGGGTTAAAAGCAAAAACATTCACAGCCAGAAGTCGTCCAACACAATAGAAAATAGCTATCATTCAACTTTCACATTCAAGTTTCAAAGACACTGCAGGGAAAAAAGTTAGACTTTATGGAGAACTAACGTGCAGTCTTCACTTTCCTTCAACCGAGTCGGCACCACAGCATCATCTTTGGCATGCACAGTCTTTGAGTAATAGTTGACTATCTTGCTGTCCAATTTATACTGATGAGGAATGCTCTCATAGGGCTTGAGGTCAAGGTCCAGCACAGACACGGAGAAGGCGAGCCTGGACCTCGACGAGGGGATGACAGGCCTCTGATCAGAACTGCAAGTAAAAAAGCAATTTCAGAATACACGGACCCTCCAAGTTCTCTTATCCCAGCTCACAAAGAGCACCCAGTCAGTGTTTGTGTGCATCCTGTCTGCACCAACTGTATACACTAGCATGTGAGCTTCCACGAAGTAATTACCTATGGGACACAGGCCAGCACCCTGAGCCACATCAGACAAGACGGATGAAGGACTGGAAGATGGAAAAGCCATTATGTGGAACGCCTGAGTGATATTCCCCAGGCCCCAGTGGCGGGAACGAATGCTGAAAAAGTCACTTTATCACGAGCCAAGCATTACAAAACCTAAGAGTTAAAAAGTAGTTCTGGCCGTTCAACAGCCAGATGGATGAAAGCCGAGAACAGACTCCTCTTTACGCACCTTTCCCACGCCTGGTGAGGAAAGCAGCCTTCTTAATGCTCCTCACAGAGAGAGGCCTGGTTTCACGTTTTACTCTCAAATCAAACCTTCAGTACTCGGTATTTTCTCTTTAGTTTTGTAGCATTTGTGAACATCAGTGTGAACAACTACTTGTACTTTAGAACACTTTCAGGGCTGGGCATGGTGGCGCACGCCTGTGATCCCAGGGCTCAGGAGGCTAAGGCAAAGACCAGGCACAGCAAATCAGTGAGGCCCTCTCAAAATTGTGGATGTAGCTCAGTGACAGAGCACCCCGGGTTTAATCCTCATTACCAAAAGGAAAGATAGCACTTTGAGAACAACTGAATCTGGTCCTGAGATGGCTATGTATCTATCTATCTGCTTTGCTCAGAAAACTCAACACACAGCATTCAAAAGAGTGGCTGAATGAATTATAAACTTCATTTCGCCCAGAAGAAGTGTTCTGGGGATCCGATTTTACCATATTTACTGCTCTTCTCAATTTAGAAATCATTAAAAACAGAACACCAGCTGTGAAGCCTCCCTCCTGGGAGACAGCCTGTTCTAAGGATGCTAATAAAGACCTCAGCTCTCAACCCGTTTCAGAATTCTGTTCATAGAAAGAAACGGTCACAAATCAGTTGCCAGGACCATTACCTAGTCTCTGCTGAATAGCAGAGAACAGCAAATAACTTGTGTACAAGATCTTGGGTCTCCCTCTGGAAGCTAGAAGGGGACAGCTCACCCTGATCAGCCTGCTACAGAGAGCCCCGAAGCCCATGGTCAGCCCAGGACAAGGCCTATGCCTTTTCAAGAACACCTCAATTTCTCAGGTTGTAAGCAGCATCCAACAAGACACATAAGACGACAGGAAGGGAATTCTAAGCAGTTCCGTCTGACAACCTGGTTGACCACAAGCTCCTTATAAGCCAGGGAAGCAGGTACTAGCCCCTGCCACCAAACATCTGCCTGCCCCCAGGGTCGGTCCTTGAAGCTAAAACCGGGCAAGAATCTCCCAAGGCACACATGTCCCTCTGCCATGGCCTCAGATACTGGGGCTGGGATAACCAGGCTGCAGGGAGCTGCTGCCCTCGCCTGGACAATTGGTCTCCAGGGCCCAACGCAGTAGGGAAGGTAGCAAGAGGGACGGGCAGAGTAGCCCAAGGCTGAAGCTGCACCCGTGCTGTTTGGAACAGGAAATGGAATAGAGGACCAGAACTTGAGACGTAGGAGGCTGTGAGCAGCTCGCCCTGTGATTCCAAAATCACAAAATGCCTGCACAAACAAGGTGGCGGACTTAAGACCTTCTTGTTTATGATGGGGCCGAAACAGAAAGAGAAGCCTCTATTTTAGGGGTGTGGTAAGTTTAAATGTAGTCAACCTGTCTGTGAGCTGTAAATTAAAATTTAAGGATCTAAATTTAGTCTTAGGTTTGGTGTGCATTTCATGGCTGTGAAGATGACTTGGGACATACCCTGGCCACAGTTGGCCATGGCTTCTGAGAGCCATGTGCACAAAGCTCTGGGGAGCCCCTCACTCCCACTGCCCTCAGGTGCACAAGTCACACTAGCACCAGTGGGGGCCTGCTCCACTCTCCTACCACCACTTCCACTCTGCAAGGTAGGGCTAGGCCACCAGTTCATAGCCCCTTGACAGAGGGTCCCTACTCTGGCCTTGCCCCCAGACTCCAGCAGGCGAAGCAGCTTCCCAGGGCAGAGTCCTCTGCAAATGCAGGTCAGAATTTCCAGCTTTCCCGTCACTCCTCAACTGGATCACAGAATTCCAGGCTTCCGCAGGCTTAACCTCCTTCAAATCAAAGGTTCATTTCTAACCAGCAAAGTTTTTCCAACACAAAGCTTACCTATGCACAGTTTAATTTTTAAACTTAAATCATTGTGTATGAAACACTTGGGTATACTTTCCTTTGTCCTTAATTTTTTCGCCTCCTACCTTTAAATATTTTTTCATGTTTATCATGCATTTACTTGCATCATGAAATAAATTTGGCAGAGGTCTCAGGATGAAATGTT